TCACGAAATTCCTGAGGCAGACGAGCTTCACGACCTGCTGTAAACACTGTTGTGACAGATTTGGTACTGTAACTACTATTTTTGGGAATTTGTTTCAGAGGACGACATTGTTGAAGGACCAAGTTGTCAAAGGACGAAGCCATCCCAAATAGGAAACCAACAAAAAAATAATATAGTATAAATAAATAACATTATCCTCTACAGCAACAAACCTACACTTTTAGCATCACATTTACTTTTATTTTTATTATCACTTTTATTCTTACAATAAATTCTTATCGTACCTCTTATATAACTCTTTATTGATCCATAAAAGTCCCTTGAAGCCACACTATACTTCATTGTAACCCTATTGCTATCTCTATTTGATCTATACAAAACCTAGTGGTCACATATTGAATAAAGCATAATGCAGGAGATATAAAACAAAAAGAATTGGAAAGATTTACCTGTATAATGTAGTCAACGTTTTATAGCAAAATGAAGATATTAATAATCTCTTTTAAATGTTTACTCATGTTTTTTTCTTTCCTTCTCTCATATATAATGTCAATGTAGTAGCTGGTTTACTTATCGTTTCTTTTATATCTCTTTCTTTGCTTCTATTGTCTCATTTGCTTTCTGAATTCTATTTTCTATCAGTGTGCGAATAATGTCTCAATAGAGTGTAAGGTATATCCAAGAAATGACTGGATGAAAGATGATATTAAAATGATGAGTCAAATAGGGCATGAATCCTACTATATGGATATTGCAACCAAGATTGCTATAGATACAATTGTATCTAAGCAATATAGTCATTATCACATTGCTTATAATCGTAGTCCCTTCTTGTCCGCCCATATCGGAAAATTAATTCTAAAGATACTCCCTCCTTTAGCTTTTGCTAATTTTTGGATCACTGTTGTACATATCCAGTAGACCCTTAAAAGCGGATTAATAGAAGGTAGTGTAGCATTGGATACTAATCAACCAAATGTATTGTAGATTAAGCTCGCGTGAATATCTTTCCGTTTTCAAGCTTAAATCGGGAATAAATCTTTAAATCAAGCTGTAGCACAATTGTCTTTTTTTTTTTCCTGTTCTTTACTAGTTTCTTCTCATTTTGTTAATCTACTAATTCTTCAAGACACAGTCTTTCTAATCTCACTATTCTAATAATACCAACCAGCACTACACTTGTCAACAAAGCAACATGACGATTCCTTCATCAACAACAACAAATGAACCACATGATAATGCACAATCTATTACAGCTGAATTTGAACAACTTAGCATTAGTTCGCACGAGGCAGAAAATAGATCACTCAAGGATAAAGCAAATAGTCCAATTCCTTCAGAAGGAAATATACCACATGCTCCTTCTGTCACAAGCCTAAAACCAGACGAGGTATCACCGCTTGATTCAACTACGGGTGCAATCTCTAGTCCTTACAACACACCCAAGATATCTCCAAAATCCATACACTCTAATATGCCTTCTGCTTCTCCTACGCTTCATAGAATGTCTCCTCAACTCAACCATTCTCCTCAGCTCAACCACTCTCCATCACTACAACCGATTCCACCTTATAGACCCAGCATACCCTTCAATCCTAATTTAGTAAACAGACCGTCTGTTTCCTATTATTCCGATAGACACCCTTCTGCACCACAACAAAGACAAGGCTCAGCAATGTCACCGCCACAATCAATACATTTACAGCAACCGATGGTAGCACCAATGTTACCTCAAATGAATGGCTCTGTACCACCCAACGCTCGCCTACCACAGCAGCCACCTCCTCCACCAAATCATGCCTACTATGGTCCACCTAGAGGACCCTATATTCAGCCTCCACGTCCTTCGCCCTATCCTCGACCACCATTACAACAGCAGTATCTTCCAGATCATTCGTATCTAGCCGATAGTTCTCTATCAGTTGCTAATGCGGCAGGCAAACGACAACCCAAAAAGAGCCAATTTCCTCGCGCTACAAAAGAAAACCTAGCCAAGTTCAGACAAGAAGCTATGGATAGTCATGACCCTCGTCTACAACTTGAATTTGCCAAATTCCTACTAGAAGCTATTCATCAGATCCAAACAGAAGAACAGGACCCAAAACGAATAAAAAAAGCACGTGAAGCACTGATGATGGAAGCACAAAAGATTGTAAAAAAACTTGCGTCGCATTCTGGAATGGGCAAGCAAGGATATCCTGAAGCTCAATTCTTTTTGGCTAATTGTTACGGGACTGGCAGTATGGGGCTTCCAACTGATGCTGAAAAAGCGTTCTCACTGTATGTTCAAGGGTCCAAGCAGAACCATCCTGGGTGTGCCTTTAGAGCTGCTGTTTGTTACGAAGTAGGTGCGGGCACTAGACGTGATAAGAATCACGCAATGCAGTTTTACAGAAAAGCAGCCAACCTGGGAGATCCGATCGCAATGTACAAACTGGGTATGATCTTACTCAAGGGATTTCTCGGTCAACCAAAAAATCCCCGAGAAGGTATCTCTTGGTTAAAGCGAGCGGCACAACAAGCAGACGAGGATCATCCACATGCGCTTCATGAGTTGGGCCTATGCTATGAAAAAGAAGGCATCCCCTCAGTGATCCCTGATCTAAACTATGCACGCGAATTGTTCAGTCAAGCCGCACAGTATGGTTATGCTCCCTCTCAGTTCAAACTCGGACAAGCCTACGAAAACGGGTTACTGAATTGTCCAGTAGATCCTCGTCGATCAATTGCATGGTACTCAAAAGCAGCAGAACAAGGCGAAGTAGAAGCAGAGTTTGCTCTTTCTGGCTGGTATCTTACAGGTGCTGAAGGAATATTACCTCAAAATGACAACGAAGCTTATCTATGGGCACGAAAAGCGGCTGACAAAGGTTATGCGAAAGCAGAGTATGCAGTTGGATATTATACAGAAACGGGCACAGGAACAAAACAAGATTTAGAAGAAGCAAAAAAATGGTACATGCGTGCAGCTGCTCAAAATTATACCAGAGCCATGCAGCGTTTGACCGAACTCAAATATGGAGGCGCAAGGCCTCAGCAGCGCCGAAAACATACTCGAGATGATGCGAAGGGAGGAAAAGACTCAGATTGTACCATTATGTAGCTTTTATTGTCTGGACTTACAAATAAAATGCTGTTTTTTTTTCTGTATAGTTTGGGTGAATGTAGAGCGACAACTGATCTAATTGGGGAGTATAGTAAGCTCAGTGAGAGACAAGAAACACAATGCATTATCATATATGTAAAAAATTTGGGAATGATGACAGGACTTTTAATGATCAATGATTTATTTGGACTGTACATTAACGAAAAACAAAGAACATCCCTAGTTCGCTTTTTTATTATTTGAGCATGGAGAACTACCAGTCTCTACTTAGTTGACGTTCTAATGCACTATAGTCAGCATTAGATGGGCCAATCAAGGTGCGTCTCTTGCCAACACCTATGCTTTCATCGCTATCCAGTTGCTTGATATCATCCTCATCCATATCTTCGGGCTCTCGCACAAAGGTTTCTCCTATAATGAATTGATGACAGTCTTGAGCTGTATTTTGGATTGTGATTTCTTTGCCATGCTGAGCAGCATGGATGGCATTGAGATTGGCTTCTGCAATACTAGCAGATGAGGGTGTCGAAATGGAGCTTCCAGTATATCGACGATGACTCTGATGGCCGGCAGAATGGTTAATAGCTAATCTTGATACATCATCATCGCTCATGCCTTTGCTCTTTAGCACCTCTTCAATAATACACTGTCTCAGTACATGCTCACTTTCGATCATTTCGAAGCTTTCAAAATCAAATAGCTTTTCGCACTCGATCTCTTCTGATTTATCTCTGACAGATGCGACAAAGGGGTGTTTTAGTGCTTCACTTGCTGTAATACGTTTCGAAGGATTTAACATTAAGAGTTGCTTTAACAAATCAATGCCTTCCGGAGGGCAGTTGGGGAATAAAAGTGAGAAATCGATGGGCTCCTCTGGCGGAGGATTTCCGTTGACGTCCCTTAAGCTTCGGATGTATTCCGTAACGGATGATGAGCTGTCCCAGAATGTGGTATCTTTTGGCAATCCCAGGGTTCCCACAATTTTATGAAGCTGATCGACATAGTCTGTGCCTTTAAATAGTACTTTTCTTCCCAGCAGTTCAGCAAAGATACAACCCACAGACCAGAGATCAACTATATGAAGAAATTGCAAATAAACACAAAAGAAGGATAAAAGGAAAAGCAGAATAGCACAAAAAGAGATCATTGGAGTGATACTTACTTGCTTTGTCATAAGAATTGCGGCTGAGCATAATTTCGGGTGCTCTGTACCATCGAGTGACAACGTAATGTGTCATATTTTGTAGCTCGACCTTTGCTGAAGGTTTAGCTATTCCTCGCGCCATACCAAAATCACAAATACGAAGATCACAGTTTTCATTCACAAGGATATTGGCTAAATATCCAAGTCAATTGAAGAGAAACGGTTTTTATGTTGACAAAGACTGTACCTGGTTTTAAATCACGATGCAACACATTGGCGCTATGAATGTATTTTAGCCCTGAAAATAACTGATACATGAACCACTGGTAGTGAACTGGCTCCAATTGAAGTTTTGAATGAATAATGTCAGCCATGGTTGTATCACAACAAGATTGGATCAGATACACTTCATTAAATCGTTCGGGGTCAACGATATCCATTGATTTCAAGTCAATAATACGCGGGTGTCCGTTAAAGTGTTGAAGTAACTTCATTTCTCGTAAACAGCGTTTTGTGATGAGCTTCTTATCAAAGATATGACGACACTTTTTAATAGCAACCACTGTATATATTTATGTCAAAAAGAGAATACACTTTGTTAATTCAGTTACCTTCATTCGTGTTGACATTTAACGCACTGCAGACAGATCCATATGATCCAGCCCCAACTTTTCTAATAATCTTGTACTGCTTATGTATAGTAAAGGTCTCATTATTACTACTATCTATAGTCACTGTGTAAAAGTCGTTTGGGTTTATCATTGGGGGAATAAGAGGGAAAAAAAAAATGGAAAGATATATTTTCTATAGTATAAACAAATTGAGCCACTTTTCTAAATGTCCCCTTTTTCTTGGAATAGACGTCCTGCTGTCGGAATTCATGATGGTTTTCCTTTTTAAATCTCCATTATCGTTTGATTCCGCTCTTTCGGGAAGCGATGTGGCTTGAAATACGCGCAAGGGACTACAGTAGCCATTCGGGTTATTAAGTTTATCTTGCATCGTTCATACAGAAATCAATAGTTCGTTATCACCAGACTACAGAGTATCTTTGTTGAGCAGTTATATACGTGAATAAGTATCATGTTGAATGTTTTGTGTATCATTTTAATACATGGAAAAACGGTAGTGAATGGTACATCATTGCGTGATAGTAGGGCATTAATGGTGTTCGGTCACCACCGGTAGAGCATCGTTTCTCACTAGCCCCAATTCCATTTTTATTCATATCTTGACGGCGCTCAATTCCGATTTGATCTATAGAAGGTAATGATGGGAGATTAGACAATGCACAGGCCGGTTCAGAGTATGCTCACATGCAGATTCAACAATAAGATAAAGCCACATTAATAACATACATCTTGTGATGATTAAGCCTCCCCTTCCCATTTGTTTTTTTATCAAATGTTGAAACTATAAATAGACGGTGGTTGCTCAATTGTAAGCTATTTAATTTAGCAAATTAATCACCTTAACTCAATTACCCTCTGATGTAAGATTTCCTTTCTTGTAGATCAAATAAACATTTGGAATAGCTTTGGTGGGTCCAATGCCGTATTCGAAAGGATCAGTTGCTTGCTACTCGTTATTAGGTCTCACTTTAAAGTAGGAGATATCTGCTACAACAGTACCTCTTAACAGCTAAAGCAAACCAAGTCTATACGAATTGGCAATCATCCACATTTTTCCAGCAAAAAGAACAAGGCCACAGGAATATTTATCCTTGGGCAAACCACAAGAATAAGGAAAACACACTTGAACCATACCCCCGTTATCGGCGGAACTCGTATCAAAGTAATATGTATTGATTTCTCTTTTAATTTCAATGTTTCCTTTGCTCTTCTTCCGACTTCGTTTATAGTATTAAAGAAAAGCCATAAATTATGAATATAAATAATATTTATTGAAAATAAAACAACAACAGCTATGCATAAAACCTATTTATTGATGTGTGAGTAACATAACAATAGACTAAAGTACAACTTACTTTTTGTTGACGAGGTAAATCAAAAGGTTAACGTTCACTTTGGCCATTCCATCTAGGACCATCATGGTTTGGATTCCTTCAAATTGTGTCCGTAACAATTCATCGTACCGTATGTCGACCTGAACAGATGTCATTGGCCATCTCGCATAACTTGCTTCGATAGTAATAATACCCACTTGATCCATGGAAATGATAATAGAGATGCGATCATAATGCTTTTTTGGTATATTTACGACTTCGATCAATATTTGGCGATCATAAAGTTGCTTGGCTGTGTATTTGTAGGATCCAAATTTTGGAACAAGTCCAAGTTTCTGCAATCCTCGGATATGAAAGTATTGGCGCGTAAATGGAAAAACAAACTTTTGCTGTTTTTTATCACGTTTGTTATTGGCCATTGCACTCATACAACTGTTCAAGTAGCTCTCATACTGACTGACCTGGTCACTCAGATACTCTTTCTTTTCCTTCAAGTGGTCTAGCATTTGTCTTGTTCGCGCAATTTCCTGATCTCGTTGAATGCGGCGAGCATGCTTTCCAGTGATATCTTTGGCAATAAGGGTGATCATGTCTTGGTAGTTATTATCACTCGAAATCCTTTTGCCAATCTTTAAATTGGCTACCAATCGATAAGTCAATGTCTTGAGTTGATAGAAGCTTAAGCTACAAATAGAATGTGAGTATCTTTTTTTTATCCTTTATATCCTTTCTTGCCTTTTCAGATCTACAGGAGGGTTTGTTCTACCTAAGTTGAGAAATCTTCTTTTAACAGCCGCAGATTGTTCATCTTGCACATCCGGAAACTCTTTTTCCTTGAACTGATCCCATATCTTTTCATGATAAGCCGTAATAGGTTGATCGATAATACGAGCCAAATTTGGGCCGCTTTGTATTTTGATGACATATACCACTAGACGTTTAGCATCCACAAGCAGTTGATCAAGTTGAGATTCAGGATCTAACGGTAAATCTTCATAAGGGCTTGTCAGGGCTAGACGTACCATAGTATCTGGTAACTCGATATCTGGTCTAAAGTATGACTCACCAAGCTCGTTGACAATTTCGGAGAGTATGCCGTATCCATTGGGTTCAATATATTCCAAATTGTTTTGAATAGTATAGTGAAGATGAAAGAGCTCTGTGGGTGAAAGATAAACGACTGGCTTGTGTGTGCTGACTTGATCTGTCAAGGGATCCATATTAAAATGCTCTTCGGGATCCTCAACATCTGTCACTATACTTTTTTATAAGAATACAATATGTTAAAACCCCTTTAATCTTACATGTCATAAACCACTGAGCAAATCGCTTAGAGGCATGCTCAAGATACTCATTTAATGGTGATAAAAGTCTGTCTTCTTCTGAAAAGGTTGATCCACTAGCAATCCGTTGAAGCATCTTTGAGATCTTTTGTTGTTGTTATTAATAAAGCATGTCGCAAGAAAACCAATTGCTTACCTCGGCCAAATTTTTTCTTTGTAATGGATTGATGATACTATCAATAACATCATACTGCTCGGGGGCACTAATGGAAAAATGAGTAAAGTTGTTTACACATAAAAGAAGAACTTACATGATTGCAGGGTTCAAATAACGATAGTAGATAAAGTTACCAAGAATTTTTACGATCGTCTCTTTTGGTTCGTCAGCAAACTTTTCTTCCAAGGCGACCCTGAGCTCTTTTGCAACCACCCTAATACCATACGGCACCTCGCTTACAGTGGACGTGATCTTGTTAAAGAACATGTCGGTTATTTCTCTCAAGTTTCTCAAATGCCGTATAAAGGTGTCAATCGCTTCTGTATCCGATTGTACATCCTGTGCAGTGATCGCGTGAGGACGGCCTGAAGGTAAACCTGTTCTCAATTCTTCATCATTGATCGATTTGTGATAGATACTGACAATATCAAGCTCAAGGTCTAAAAAGTCATTGTTTACCACTTGCTTCACGAGATCGCCAAAAAGCTCGCGAAAGAATTGACGTTCCTTTGCACCACGGTTTGTTTGTACAACGAGCTTCATAAAAGTGTAATTGCCACGCATAAACTCCTGAGGGCTTTCTACATATTGTATCTCTTCAGAGATGCAATACTTTTTTATAAAGTTAAATGCAGCCTTTTATACACAACACTATTTCATTTTTTCTTTGCTTTTACCTTACAAAGGTTAATCAACAAATATTCTTCACGCACATTAGTCGCATAACCAAAAAGAGACAATACGGTGGACTCAATTAACTTGTGACTTGAGTAGTGTCCCAGATCCTGTCGGTTCGTTAGAAACAATAAGCGTGCAAGGTACTGTGGTTCCGTCTGTAAACAATAAACCATCTGTTGAAACACTTCAAGACGCTGTCTACTTTCTTTATCCACAACTGATAACGAAAAGGGGTCCATATGATGATTAGCAGCAGCTTCAGCCGTCATGATCATTCGCTTCTGCTCCTTCTTTTTCTTTTTTAATGCACCTGTTTGCTTTAGAGCTTCTTCAATCGTGATGGCATTTTTGAGAAACAAGGCAATCTGAATATCAAGAGCAGTGACAAGGCCTTCAAGTTGGTTATTTCCACGAATATGTTCAATCACATCCTGACGAAGGCCCTCTAATTCGAGTTCACGGTCAAAGTCGAGGTCACTGTCATCGAGAAGGTGAACAAAGTTTTTGACCGTATTGACTGAAGGACTATGGTCATGGGTGAGACGATGGTAGGCTTTATTGACTAGCTTGTTTTTGATAAGGCCTTGGACTTTGATTATCTGGTCAATGTGAGCGTGATAATACTCAATCTTGCGCTGATAACAGAGACGTGTCATCAAACCTCGACAGTAAGCCTGTAATTGGATAATAATATCTAAACTGAGCGACTGCAGCTCCTGCCTTCTTTCTTCTTGTCTTTTACGGCAGATCATGCCTCGAATGGCAAATTGGAGCTGAGTGATCGTGCTGATGAACTGGGGTGACTGGAAGGCGCGTAATTTTCGTTCGTTTGCTTTTCGAGTAGACCATGCGCGTATGATTGACTGACACTTGGTTACTTTATCAATATTAGCTTGGATCAACCAGTACTGCTCTCCTAATAGGGAATATTTAGGCTCTGGAGAACAAATAAACGTATGCTCCTTATACCTTCTTCAGCATAGACTTCAAAAGGAGAATCTACGTCTGATTCTTCTTCTTCAATAATAAGCTCAGGTGTTTTCAGAATGAAAGGAACTCCAGAGTCGATCTGCAAGTATTGATTGAAATCATCATCCTCGTCACTTTCATTCAACTCTCGACGCAATGAATGGCCCACGTTCATAAAGTTTGGCATAGGAACACCTGCCATGTCCAGATGACGCTGTGTTGTACTGAGTTCTTCATCTGTATAAACACATGTGTTAGCAATAGGTACAATTGAAAATAGAATAGCCTACTAGTGAATTGAAGTTGTCCCAATAAATTCTTGATGTTGGGTGCCAGGTTACGTCTTGATAGTAAATGACTACGTAAAACATACTGTTTAATTGACCCCCTTTAGTTAATACTGCTACTGTACCTGAGCGCATGGATACAGTAAATTACTTTGGGAATGTTCTTTTTCTCATAGAGATCAGTTAGTTCAAACCAAAAGATTTGTGGCAACTTTATAATCTTTAATGCATCAAAGAAATAATTGATATTATCAGAATGACGGAACTGGAGTTTAGAATCCTTTTGGATAATCATGTTAGGTTGACATATTCCTCTTTAAGTTTTTTCATTACCTGAAATATTTTACGAGCAGTGCCTGGTGCAAACCAATTGGCTAACTTGGCTAATATAATACCATTTCTCATGGTCTCTTCTAATTTAATAATTGGATCGATTTCATCTTGCAAACAATTCTCGATCCATCTATATGAATATGAGCAAAGAGAGGGAGTACAGATAGCATGTGGTTTACTCTTTGGCTTCACCAATATGACAAAGGTATTCATAGGCTAATAAGTTATTTCGTTGTTTATCCATCCACTGACTTGTGTGAATCTTGTCATCTTTCTGAAGTCGAATACGGCCTAAACATGTTGTGATTAGCTTTCAATGGTTTATAAGTGTTTTATAGAAAGGAGGGGAAACCTTGCATTCCTATATTGATCTACATTAGACAATGATCATCCAGCATTGTTATTTTGTTACCAATCACGTCTTTTGCATCTTCTGTGATAGTAGGTATATGAAGATCCAAAAGACCGTTTTTACCAGCCATGTTTGATAATCTGTTAAGAGGAGTAGAGTGCGACATTGATTGTAATTAAGAAAAAGAAGAAAGAGAGAAATAGGATCAAATACCAAACTCTATATATGAATGCTTGGAACAGTTCAAAATGAACTGCTGCGTGATGTAAAAAAAAAGAATAGATCCCGTTTTAGTAAATCCTTCTTGTTTACTAAAGCACACAGACAGTTTATAAAAGCAGAATTTTTTTTATCAAATGATTGTATGAATAGAATAAAATATGTCTCTCTTTTTTTTAATAAAATCCCCTTTTTTTATATAGAAAAGAAAAACTACAATTTACAAAAAACATTATCCCTTATAGTAATATTTAAGCTATAATCTAATGAGCATGAGTTTTGTTAAAAGCTAAGTATATTTACCGGTACTTTCCAAAGCTCTTGTAGCAAAGAACCTGACATCACCATCTTGATCTGTGCAAAGTTTTTCAAGAGTAGGCTTAACAGAGCTGTTGACAAGTTCACCCGTGTTAGGATCTTTCTTTAATAATGGTATCAAACTTTCCAAAGATTTAGCGACGTTAAATCGAATGTTTGGAATAGGATCTTTTGACATGTTGATGATTGTAGGAAGAATAGAATCTTTCACCATCACAGGTGTTAGAGCCTCGGCCATTGTCTATTTGATATAAGTTGAATGTACAACCTCAATGGTCACAACTTACTGTTAACGCAAAAATGGTAGTCATTCTGTGCAAGTAGTTTTCGTCAGTTGTCATCTTCATGACTTCAGGAATAATAGCCTTCTTGGCCCATTCAGCACCAAACACTTCAGTCAATTTCATCAAGTTGATAGTGGCAGCTTCACGAATAGAAAACACGAGATCACGGAGCCAAGACATGCATAATTCCAAAAGCTTTTCTTCAAAGAATTTCGATCCAAATTGCTTAGCTAAAAGTGGAATATACTCGATAATAGCAAGACGGATACGCCATTGCTTATCTTCTGATAGTTCTACAATAGCTGGAAGTAATGCTTGTGATACTCTTTCGATGCCAATTGCTAAAATATGTTTAATATACCCTGTCCTTTTCTACTTTGTTTTCTTACCTTTATTGATCGTTTCCAAGTTGGAGATGACATTCAAACGAACATCAGGGAATTCATCTGTGAGCTGTTGCAAAAACAATGGTAGTAAATATTGCATGGTTCTATATAGACGAGTTAGTATCATAAGTTCATTTGGTCATACACAACTTACGCATCTTGTCCTATGATGGGTGCCAATCCACTGATATCCTTTGCAAGGGCTGCACGAGCATGCTGATTTTCATCAGTCACTAACAATTTGACACAGGGTAAAAGCTCAGAAAGGATAACTTCATTGTCTACCAATTTTGCATAGCCAGGGATTTGACTAGCTGCTGCTGTTCTCACTTCGCCTTCGGTATCTTTTAACATATTCACAAAGGCTTCTGTAAAGTGTTCTCGTACAATATCTTGCCCAAAGGCATCGGCAAGCTACAAAAGTCAAAATCATATCTAGATATTTTGATTGTGTTTACCTCCACATATTTAGAAGCGACCATGTATCTCACTCTCCATGCTTTATCAGTTGATAAAGTTGCAAATGCAGGCAATAGCAATTCTTTTCTTTCCCCTTCGCTGACTCGCTTGGCGAGGGCAGCAAGTACTTCAACTGTCAGCAAACGGACTGAATCTTGGTCGTCCTGAGATAATTTCTGAAACAGTGGGATGACAGTTGAGAGAACGTCTTCATCCGACATTTGTCGAACAAGTTCCTACACATGTAGTAGTTTAGAGCATAAACTACACAAGCTGTTTTTTTTAAAAAAAAATCACGTACAACAAGGGCCTTGGAGGCTGCTCTTCTGACCATTGGGCTGTCATCTGATGCTAATTGTGCAAATAGTCTAATATATTGTAGTTAGAAAACAATACAGAATAAATGATCAAATATACCCTTTTAGTTCAGTTTGCACGTCAGGGTCACCCCGTTTATAGACCACAGCATATAAACCAGTAGCTGAAGTTCTACTGGTGAACCATTCACCGCTACTGAGCCTTTTTACAAGTGGTAAAAAGTGTTGTTGAAGATGTTGTTGGGGCAAGATGTCAGCAATAGAGCAAAGAGAAACAACTGCCTAAGTTATTTCCCGAATAAGAAATGTTTAGTGAAAGGAAACAAGAGGGATAGTTTCAAGTACCTTATCTCTAACAGAGGCTTCTTCGACAGCAGCAATGTTTTCTAAGGGAGGTAAAAGGCAATTGGCATATTCACTACCTCCAACAGCATCTACCAAGTTTCCAAGTCCTTCAGCCAAAGCTAATAATACTTCATCCTCATCATCAAGAGACTCTATTATAATAAACACGTGTTTTTTTGAGTTATTGTTTACTCACAATATATGATGTTACCTTGAAGGAAAGGTATAAGCTCGTCTCTGGTTCTATCAGCACCAAGAGCATTAGCAATTACACTTAATTTTTTAATAGAATTAAGTCTAAAAGTGACATCTTCGTTTTTAAGATCGTCAATTAAAGAAGCAATAGTAGTTATTTCATTAGGAGGATCTTCGTCCATGAATTCAGTTGTTGGCACATTAACATTTGTGTCAATTTCCATATCTGTGGTGGTAGTCGTGTTATTATCATTCGATGCCATTATTTCTATATATTCTCTCTTTTATTTCTCTCTTTGAAAAATAGCTGAAGAAAATATAAAAAAGAAAAAAGTCAAGAATTAGCAATGACGTGTGCAAAAAAATTGCGGTTGCACACTCCTTTATTTTTGGTGAGCGAAAAGAAAACTGCTAATTGGCCAAAGCAGGTCAAATCAAGATAAATTCTTGTGCTCATGGAATCAGTGGTAGTAGTCAGCTGGGAAGGCATGCGCTTGGAATCGATACATGGCTTCATTTTGGGTTTCATGCGAATACTTGATGCGATCAATACGTTAAAAACTCGGATGCTAATCGCTAGCTTGACACCATCTGAACGTTGGAGACTTACAGACCATACATCGGGGTACATGGTGTCAATGGGAGGCGGTATTTATGTAATTATTGAAGTATCTTTCTCTTTGCCAAATGTTTTACGGTGTATATCGATATGTTTGATTCGTTCATAAGCTTCCACAGTATTGTCCATGATTGCGAGTGTTATGCATTATGGTGCCAGACAACACCTTGGCACTAAAATACCTAACTTGTGGATGGAATTCCCAGTCATTGTTCAGCATTGTTGTATTCAGCTTCGTTATTGTAAAAAAGCTATTAAATCGACAACTTATGAATTAGATTCTTTACTAAGAAGAGCTGAATATTATTAAATTAAGTTTGTATGAGAGTTTCATAGGGAATATTAATGTTGTCAGTATGATAAACGTGGTCAATATAATTATTTATGCTTATATTGTTATTGTTACACTAGTAGCTACTATAGTTATTATTATTATAAGTTGTTCTTATTAGATGCTGTAGAGGAATGTAAAGTAGAATGTATGCTTTACTTTAAGATTATACTCGAGTTATTATAATGATTTATACCAAACACATCAAGATACTAGCATATAATGCTATTCATCAAGCAGAATAAAAATATATCCTTTTGGTAACACATCTTCCATTTGTCTTGTTGTATCCAAAAGCTTTATTATTATTATTATTATTATTATTGTTATTGTTATTATTTAAATTATATAGTTAGGATGAGAAAGGAGTGGGCGTAGCAAGCAATTGAGGATCATTGCTAGAGGCATGTATACCTGAGTGACCATACGCCTTCCAAGAAGAATGTTTTTGTGTCCAGTTTGAGTCGTGTAATTTATGACGCATTGAATAACGAAGATTAAATATATCACTAGCGTGTTTAGAGTGTACTCTCTTATTCTAAAGATATGTAAATGAGCTCATTTGGCAATGTGTATACTATCATACTCACAGACGCGACTCTGTTAGCTTGAATGTATTCAGGAGATTCTGATACAGTCCACTCTTCTACCTCTACAACCTTCATCAATCCTTTTTTAGTTTATACGAATTTACTTTACATCCATAATATCACCTTATCTCCAATGTGCATCTTGTCTCTAGCAGGTGTTTCAACAGGTGAAGCAAGGACAGTAGTGGCCATAGAATCCGAATATAAATCAGATTCCGCAGGCTGATATTGATCTTTGGCATGCTTGTCATTGAGCATATTCATGATGCCTCTTCTATCATGTCTGGCAACATGTGCACAAGTGAAGGTAGCAACTAAAAGTAACGAAAAGATAGATTTGAGCATTTAAAGAGAAAAAGAGAGAGGGGAGAAAGAGAGAGAAGAATTTTAAAAAGCACCTATTGATTGTGCCTGAATGTCTATCAAGCGTTGATATTGATTGGGTAGTTCTATTTGTAGATCTTGTGTTATTATCACGTACCAGGTTCTTTTGCGTTCTTTCTTTAACTTTGACCAAAGTCATTCTTATATCACACTCTTTTTCTTATATTTGAATTTGGTAAAAGAGCAAGAATATATATGCCTTGTGAAACTTTTATATTAATTTCATCCAATTCTTATACAAACCATATATTTCGTTAGTTATTAAATTACAACCTTATTCTTGATTTACATCAATCTCTCCATCCAAGTAAAGTCTAATGCATCCTTATTTCCCAATAATCAATTCTATAATCTTACAGACAAGCCAAACGAGAAAGATGATTCATTTCAAGATTTAGACAACCTAAAAGTGTTTTTTGTGACTACAGCGGCATAATGACCCATATCTCACAAATACAGAAAGAAAGCCAAACAAAGGAACAAGCTAATGCTTTTAAAATTATGCGTGCAAGTTTATTTAAAAAAGTTTTACATGACCTTTTAGATATTCTCTTGTTTGAAACCTAGACAGGTTACGTAAATAAAAGCTTAAGGGTGAGCTGTTTGACTGATTTGGCTTAGCTTCATTTTTAATCCAATAATGGCAATTGACGCGATATACACTCTTTCCGGAAAGTAAATTCGCCTGTGATCGAGAACAAAATTCATACTGTACGAAATGTAAATTCGTAATCACCAAGAATATTTTCGTAGTATCAGCCTTGGCATCCAAGGATATATTATATTTCCAGAAAATAATGAGACTGAATGTCGTGCTTTCCAAATTTAGATGTCGCATTGAAACCGTTGTAACGTTATCAAAGTAATAACAAATACAAAAAGAATATGACTCACTATCCCATTTGACAGTAATATTAATAGATGGACTGTCTTGAAGCTGAGACTAACCTAATATTAGAAATCGCCCTCTTTAGTCTCCTTGTAAAATCAGAAGAACATGTAGTCATATTTGACAATGCATATTCTTGAATGGTCACGAAGCAGATTGCTTCTATTTGACATGATTTCTTTGTCCTAAGTATCCAATCCTGAAATCTGTTTGAAAGAAAAGCATATAAAAACCCATTTTAATTGAGTCCTTTTTTTTGCTTCTTTACAGCAGTTATCAAATGTCCCTCTGAGTGTTCAAAGATTCACAAATCAAAACTAGCCTATCCTCATGGTCCTTGCTCTGACGCGCTTGTCCCGCCCTTTTTGCTCTCTGGCGTGTATCTGGAACGTTCCCCAATAGTCTCTTCTGACGCCCTGGGTTCTCTGTGCCCCCCCCCGCTCCTTTTTTTTTTTGTTTTGTTTAAACAATCCTGGGTAGTTATCGCTACCCTCCCCATAATGCACCTTGGTAGTAAGTAAAACTAATATTAGAATGTGTGCTCTAATACTAACATACTTTTTCTCTCTTTTTCTACATATACTCATTATCTCTTTCTCTTTTGATATGATGTCGTTTTATTCAAACATATTTTTCTTTGTCGTCTTTTTACGTAAATAATTTTTTTATTTTATGACAATGTTTTATAAAATTAACGTCAATAATTAATAAAAATACAGTACCTCGGCTGATGTAAAAAATAATATGATGGCTATTGCGTTGGAATCCTAATGCACGACTAAACAGTGATAAGAGTGATTATACAGTGCAATTTTGTTTATTAAAGAACAAATTGGGAACTAGCAGGGCTATCATACTACAGCACAACTTGGCATGTCACTTTATACCATGGTTAACCCTATCTTGACTGATTTGATAAACTATAAATGAAATCATACGTGAATTACCTGTAGGTAAATTCATTCAAAATAGACTATTATTCTTTCAATTTCAACTATGTAGCCTAGTCTCACCATTGATGTAAAATCATGAATAAATAAGCGCAATAAGTGTTTGTGATGTCATGGTTTTGTTATTTTTTTTCCCTTTTAGTTCAGAAAAAAAAAAAACCCCCACTATAAAAGCTCTTCTTTTTCTCTTTTTCTCTTTTATTTTCTTTGTTATTGTTTATATATATTAAATATGGTTTCTGATATCGATCAAAAGGCAATCAACACTATTCGTACATTGGCCGCTGATGTTGTTTTTAAAGCAGATTCTGGCCATCCTGGTGCTCCCATGGGTCTTGCTCCTATCGCGCATACCTTGTTCACCCAGTTCCTTCGCGCTAATCCCAAGAATCCTTACTTTATCAACAGAGACCGCTTCTTACTGTCAAATGGTCATGCCTGTGCTCTCCAATACATCCTTCTTCACTTCTTAGGATATAACCTCACCATGGAAGATTTAAAGCAATTTCGTCAAGTGGGCTCGAAGTAAGTTTATATTTATCATGCGGTGTATATAGAATACTTATCTCTGGATAGGACACCCGGTCATCCTGAACGTATTGATACAGAGGGCGTCGAAGTGACTACAGGCCCCTTAGGTCAAGGTATTTCTAATGCTGTTGGTATGGCTGCTGCCGAAGCTCACTTGGCAGCCACGTACAACCGACCTGGTTACAACATTATTGACAACTATATCTATGTTATCCTTGGTGACGGCTGTCTTCAAGAAGGTGTTGCTTCTGAAGCTGCTTCATTGGCTGGACATTTGCAACTTGGTAAACTGATTGCCATATACGATGATAACCATATTACTATTGATGGTGACACCGATGTGTCCTTTACCGAAGATGTTATCAAGCGATTTGAAGCTTATGGATGGCACACTCAAGTAATCAATAATGGTGATACTGATATTGAAGACTTTAAGAAGGCTATTGTCGAAGCTCAAAAGGTCACTGATAAGCCTTCTCTGATCAAAGTAAGAACCACTATCGGTAGGTTGCACACAGTTTATGCGTCAGTCAACGCGTCGTCATGTGCTAAATTTGCTTGCATTAGGCTATGGTTCTTTGAATCAAGGTAAAGAAAAGGTTCATGGTTCTCCCCTTAAGGGTAAGTTTAAAGAAACACGTATATTGATTATGGGCTAAAATAAGTCGTGTAGAGGACGATATTAAGCAACTCAAACAAAAATTCGGTTTCGACCCCGAAAAGACTTTCCAAGTTGACAATGATGTAAATATGAGCAAATTAAATTTCATTGGCCCCCTTCTCTAATCCCTTGCTTTTTATACATTAGGTTTATGAACTCTATCACAAGCGTGCTCAACAAGGTGCTGAATATGAAAAGCAGTGGAATGAACTGTTTGAAAAATACAAAAAGGAGTACCCCAAGGAAGCCAGTGAACTTGTTCGCCGCTTCAGCCAGAAATTACCTGACGGTTGGGAAAAAGTTCTTCCTCGTTTCAAGCCTTCCGATTCAGCAGCGGCAACACGCAAAATGTCAGAAACCGTTCTTACTGCCCTTGCAGACGCCATTCCTGAACTCCTAGGTGGTTCTGCCGACTTGACCGGTTCTAACTTGACACGCTGGAAAGACGCAGTTGACTTCCAGCCTCCATCAACTGGCCTTGGTGATTATTCTGGACGCTATTTCCGTTTTGGTGTACGTGAACATGGTATGTTTGCCTTCTTGAACGGTATGAGTGCCTATGGTGGCATCATTCCATTTGGTGGCACTTTCCTTAACTTCTTGACCTATGGCTGGGGCGCTGCTCGTCTCTCTGCCTTGTCTCATTGCCGTGTTATCTACGTGATGACACACGATTCCATTGGTCTTGGTGAGGACGGTCCTACTCACCAACCTGTCGAAACCTTGGCTCTCACTCGTGCCACGCCCAACATGCTCACCCTTCGTCCTGCAGACGGCAATGAAGTCTCGGGTGCTTACTGGGTCGCCCTTCAAAACAAGGAGCGTCCTTCTGTATTGGCACTCTCTCGTCAAGGCTTGCCACAGCTCGAGGGAAGCTCACCCGAGAGTGTTCTCAAGGGCGGCTATGTACTCCAGACGGACGACAAGCCTCAAATCATTTTTGTCGCAACAGGTTCTGAAGTCACCATCGCTGTGGATGCACACAAAAAGTTGAAAGAACAGGGAATTCCCTCCCGTGTGGTCTCGATGCCTTGTACTGAATTGTTTGATGAACAACCCATTGAATATAAGAAACAAGTCATTCCTTCTGGAACCCCTGTGATCTCAATTGAAGCTCTTGGTACCTTTGGATGGGATCGCTACTCTCATGCTCATATTGGTTTGCATACATTTGGTACTTGTGGTAAAGTGGGTGATGTATACAAGCACTTTGGTATAACCTCAGAACATGCTGTTCAAAAGGCAAAAAATGTTATTGAACACTTTAAGAAGCTTGGTCATGTTCCTGAGTTGAACGTTCAACTTTAAAAAAATTGTAAATATTCAAGAAATAAATGTGTAAAATTTGACATTTTATTAAAAAAAGATATATATAAAGGGGTGGGGGATAAAATTATGTATTATGTGTGCTTTATTTTTTTCTTCAAAAAACAAAGAAAGATAATTTTCATGAGAATGGGGGAAAAGATATAGAAAGGTATGAGTTTATCGACATTGCCATAATTTAATTGTTTGGTCAACACTTCCTGTTGCAACAACTGGGCTCGTATTACAATGGCTACATATCATCAAATGAGTAACATTGTGTTTTAATCTTGTTAGTACTTACGCTATACAGGTGACAAAATGTGAATGAGCATCTATAGTCTTTGCGCATCGTCCTGTCTTCAAATCCCATATCTTGATCGTTTTATCGTCTGAAGCACTTAGTAAATATTTTCCATTTGGATGTACAACTAGTCCTCTAACCCAGTTATCGTGTCCTACCTAATGTGTAATGTAAGAATTGAGTGGTTACCTGCTAGAGTATGTCACTTACTAGCGTATGCAGCAATTGTCCATTTGAATTCCATAGTTTGATTGTTTTATCTCTTGATCCAGTGATAATGAACTGACCTGGTAATGGGTCCTTGGCTGCTTTATTCTATTTTGTATCCTATTTAGAGGATATGTTTAAAATACTTATATATAGGCTAATTACCTCATCACCAATTAATTCTTGTATATATTGATATGAATTAGTAGGTGCAAAAATAGCGCATTCTAATACATGTTCATGCCCTCTAAATTCCATTTTTGACTCTCCTGTTTGAATATCCCAAAGTCTGGCAGTCTATCAAAGAGAGTAAGATCACAGTTTTTTAAATATTTCTCTCACTCTCTCTCTCACTCTACCTGATCATTGGATGCCGTCAATAGGTATCTGCCATCTTCACTAGGCACAACTGATCTCACCCAATCTAAATGCCCTGTCAGTGTCTTTGTACAGTAACTAAAAATAGGTTAACGAATGATTGATTGAATATGTTGCTATAGTTACCCTGACGAAGCATCCCATAGTTTGATCGTTCTATCACGAGAAGAAGACACAATGATATCTCCTGAGGGTAAATAAGCAACAGAAGAGACGCTATGATCATGTCCATATAGCGTTTTAATGCATTTATAGTCACTATTGACGTCCCACACTTTAATCGTAAGATCAGCTGAACAAGAAACTAATAAAATGTACATAAGCAAACAGAAAATACTAAAATTGTCATAAACTTGCCTAAATAGTTCCCCTTGGGATCAAAGGCAATCTTTTGTACAGATTTTGTATGCCCTTTTAGAGTACGTTCGAATTCTCCTGTTTCAAAGTCCCATATTTTAATGGTGGTGTCTTCAGAAGACGAAGCAAGTATCTGATAAACTGGGTGAAAGACAACGCAAGTAATAGGACTCCTGTGACCCGTCATACTTTGCTTTTCAGGTGGGCGAGGTATCCAATCGGTTGAACTGGTTTGCTTTCGAACGGGTGCGTTATTTATTTCTTCCTGTAGCTGTGCTGACTTGGTCTCCAACTCCATAATCTGACTAGTGTTAATATCAGACAGTATTTAATATATTTTTACCTTTTTTTGTAAACGAATAACAGACGTCCACTTTTTTTCTAGCAGACCAGCATACTTTTGCTTTGGGTCAGGAACAAAGTCTTCATTATGTGTTTCAGATTTCAAAGTCATGAATGATTCTGTAAATCCACTCGAATTAAGATAATCTAAAATTGCTTTATGCCTTTTTGTATATAAATGAGTTCTATTGTATATGTATTCATAGTCTATATCATTTACAATTCATCTTTCTGACGATCAGAAAGGATACTATTCATGGCTATCTTTAACTAAATATTCTAAAGAGGGAAGAAAAGGAAAGAAAAAGAAAGAAAGTGTGCACAAAGGAAAAAATTAAAAAAAGAAGGCTTTGAATTTTATCTATCACTATTTCTCTCTCTTTCCCCCTTTCTTTCTCTATGGCTTGTAAAGAAAGAAGCATCTATGAGCCACACTCGTACACAAATACAAATGTGTATATATATACGTATATGTTGCTTGGTTACAGATTGTATAGAAAATGGTCGACTGTCAAATGAGGTTAAAATGTACTATAAGGAAAAAGTGTTTGCATTATTCAAATGACTTTACTCTTTTCTTCACTCCCCTTTTCCTCCTCAATCACTAAAATTTCTAAAGTAAGCCGCTGCGTGAATATAAAAGACAACCAACTAATGACATAAAGAAGCTCAAAGATATCGCATCTTGCAGGTTCACTTGGCGGACTTAAAAAGGCTTGAGCTATGGATTGATGTTGACCAAGAACTGCTAGACAGCTTTATGCGAGCTATGGCACAGACGTTTAGGGAACAGATCCAATAAACCCATTATAAGCAGGTATTAGTTCAAAAATATTCCTCTCCTTGACTGAACCCATAAGCCAAAGTTGAATTAAGGCAGCGTCCTAAGTTCGATACTTTGAATTCTTGTTGAACTAGTTTGAGATTATATCGTGTCTGATTGTACTTGCTTGTCATACTGCTGTTACAAACTCAAAAAAATGCATAAAGAGGAAAAAAAAAATCATTATGAAATACAAGTGTATATTTATAGATAAAAAAAATGTATAAATGAAGACTTTTTAATGATAGTTCCCATAGCCTGGTGGTTGCTGTTGTTGAGGAGGGTATCCATGCGCTGCATTGGGCGAATATCCCCCTTGACTACCATTCGTACCACCGTAGTAGGAAGAGTATCCTTGCTGTGGCTGCTGTTGCTGAGGATAGGTGGATTGAGCGTAATAGTCGTAGTTGTTGTTAGGAGGATAATAAGAAGATTGATTATAGGGCTGAGAGGTTGTTGGAGGATAGTTGCTATAGGTTGAAGGCTGCTGCTGAAGAGAGACATGACTCATCGAGTTTGTCAAGTCATTCACGCCATAAACTTGATTGCTACTCATGATGGGCGTCTGCTGATAATAATAAGGGTCTTGCTGTGCTTGTTGCGGATAATTGTCTGCAAGTGTATCAGCTGCGTCGAATGAAGAAGTAAACGTGAAAGACTTGTCTCGGATGATACATTCAATCTTAATTTCTGTTAAGCCGAAATACATCTTGATTGTCATGTTCACTTTGTCGCCTGGCTTAACCCCATCCAAGTGTGGCATACGAATAGGAAAATGACCCACTTTGCGTACGAGTGGATGAGAGGTTAATCGTGGTGGAGGGCCCTCACCATCAAATGCAAACAGATCTATACAGAGTATCACGTTAGCACAAACACACATTTTAAGCGTGATCTAAAGTTACCAGAGTCCGTGTCATTTGGATAGCTGATCACAAAGTTTTTCGAAATACATTCATCTACTTTAATACTTTGTCCTTTTTGAACATAAACACTGAAACGTTGGCGACAGTAACGTTTGCCATCTGCGCCTATCACAGAATATTCTGGCGGATCTAAATCATCCTGGAACAACATACGAGTTTCGACACCATAGGTTCTTCTGGACACACGCTCCGTCACGACTTGAGGGCTTAGACCAAAATAGACAGCGCCTCGTACGACAGCTAATTCACCACGAGGAGGCACACCAATCATGCCGACTTGATTAGCAAATTCTTCTTCCACACGACGGAAGAGGTAGTTTGATTGACCAAATCCACCTACTAAAAAGATAGCTTCCAAATTGGGTGACTGAGCCAACTGACCACGAATCAGGTCCAACACCTGGCGAATCACAGGCTCAAAGACGTAGTCCCTTAATTCCTCGGCTGGTAAGCAAAGCGAGCCGTTATCTAAGCCGATATCGGGATCCGATAGATCGCCAAGACCCATGGAAGCAGGCAAATCGAGGAAATGATCCTCTACGCCGTCAAAATCAGGCTTAATAACGTTGATAAACGTGTCCATAATCAATTCCATGGCAGAGTCATTGATGGTATGGTAGTGCGAAAACTTGCGTTTTAAATACTCTCGCATTCTTAAATCCAAAAATCCTGAGCCACAAGAGCCACCGTGGCCGTTTGTTACTTCCTTCAAGGTACGTCTATAATCACAAGTTAGAACACTATTTGTCATGTTTACTTTACTATTTACTTTTCTCCTGGTGGTTCATGAATTTCAAAAACAATCAAGTCAACTGTTCCTCCACCAGCGTCACAGATCATGAAACGCTGGCCATGTCTCAGGTTGAATTGTTCAGATTTTTTCTCGCAGTACAAAGCAGCTGCTTCCGGTTCTGAAATAAGCATGAGTCGATCAGGATGGTCGTTGCTGTTGATCAGTCCAGCGCGTATGGCTGCTTCACGCATAGTTGCTTTGGCTCTGTCGCTCCACATAGCAGGTACAGTTAAACACTAAATCAAAATTTAATGACTTAGTCTATTACGTATGCCAAGAACTTCTTTCTCTCCTTCTCTTTCCAACTTACATATCTAAATCGGGATTGGTCATAGTTTCCAGCAAATCCTTTCAAAAGTTCTGTACAGACATGTAAATGGAAAGCTCGTAAATAATCAGCAATAACATCAGTAATATTAAGCCCGTTTCCAAGATCTGTCTGCTGCAAGTGCTCATCAAGATATAATTTGAATTTAGAAAGTAACATCAGGTCCGAACTGTTGGGCTTCATAGCTAGTCTTCTTGCGCCATGTCCCCAGTCTACGAGCTGTGTTGATCCTTTACGGTATAATGAAAGTGTAGGTGTCTATAGGCATGGTGTTTAATAAATAAAATAATACATGTAGACCTTATTTCTCTTTCATACTTTGGGGTAAACTTGATTATTTTGTTTAGGCCTATTTTTTCAGTTAACAAAAATGTTGTCAATAGACAATATAGTTTTACCATTTAACAATGTCTATCACTTCTTCATTTTGTGTAAATGCATAGCAACAGCCAGAATAAGTCGTACCTTGTTTTTGTTTTTGTTTTTAAATTAGTTTATGTTGTGCTGAATGTAATATTTTACTAGTTACCAAAATCAATTCCTACAATGACAGGATAATCTGCATAGTTAAATCCTGAATTCATAGGGGGAATAAAATATGTTGTTGGTAATTGGAAATACAGGCGAAAAAGAAAAAACAAAAAAAAGGGAAAGAAAAATAATATTTACATTGGCTAAAAATAGTATGTTTTAGGCGCCGCTTCAGACAAAAACAGTAAAACAAACATTAGAGGAATGAGGCGTTGACAACATTTCTTTTACATATATATGTTGACATTGTTGATCGTCTTGACAATGGTTACCATGGGTACGCTTTAATATTGCTGTTTTCACGTTTACAATTATCTTTTATACAAAAAACCAGTAATCATCTTTCTGAAAAAAAAGCAAGGACATCATCCACTGTCCTACTTGCGGAAAAAAGGGGTCTGTTCCAAACCCATGTAGCATATGTTATTGAAATGGAGGGACGATGGTCTATGCCCCTTCCTTGTAAACCACGATCCGCAAAACGTCTATAATATATCTTATGCATAGCTTTGTTTTATGAAATTGTACTTTGACGTACCATCACCTATATGTTATGTGATTCGTTCGCTAAGTCTGTCATTGAAGTCTTGCTACTTGATGTCTTTGAACCTTTTCCAAGCAATGATCCAATACGAGTTTGAATTGACAATTACGCAGCTACGCTTGGCACTGTTTCAATGCGCAAGGCTATTAGAAATGAACTCGGGCACGGTGACTTGAGTGTTTTTGAATATGTGAAGATATTTGTTGTACATGATTCTGGTAATATATAAATATAATTATTCAATTCATATCGTTCTCTAAAAAACCAGTTGCATACTATGGTTACATATATAAAGCTAATATCTTTCAAAAGTAGTTTGATAATAAAAGCATGCCTTTGAAGTCAAAGGAGTCATTTGATTTTTATTTACCAAAAGTCATCCAACTAACTTAATCACCAATAGCAGGTGGAAACCACAGACCATCTGTTCCCATATGGCCATACTGTCGATCTTGCCCTGTTTCCAAACGTATCTCTTATCCTTACAACCCTTCTGATGACTGAACTATTTTCGAAAAATCAATAAGCTTTCACATATAGGATTTTATCTAAAGTAACTATTTGCTTTTACAGCCTATGTTTTAACATATTTCTTAATTGACATGGTAGAGCCTATAATATAAAGACGTATGTCTGTTTTACTCTTAGAGGCGCTGTGACTTGTTAGACTAAACATTGCTTTCTTTCAAAATAAAAAAAAAGGGAACTGGAATACCTTCCCTCCCTTCAAATGACAATTCAAGTACGCTCAAAACGAAGAATACTTCCTAAACGTTCTGTTATCGACATTGATTTCGTTTCATCCAAATCCAATAATTTGCAAGATTTACTATGTACATCCACACAAATACCTTCCAAGAAAGATTATTCAGTGATTAATGAATTATTTGGCGATCAGTCAAAATTTCCATCGCAAAGGGAACATTTACCACACATCGTACTCGGAACACCCAAGAGAAGTCGGCTACTTCAAAAGCAAGAGGATAGAGAGAACTTAGTAGAGAGTCAAAAAATTCATGAAAATATACCTGTCAAGAGCAATGACCAAGAAAACCAGGATGAGAAACACGTTGTAGGACAAGGTGTTTTAGAAAAAACAAAAGGTTTATCGAATGGCAAGAGGAATGTATTAAGTGAAAACGTAATCAAGACAAGTACTAGTACTAGTAGTGTTAGCAGCAGTACTAGCACTAGTAGTGATAGTAGTAACATCAGCACTAGTAGTGGAAGCAGTAGTAATAGTGATAGTAATACCAATAGCGGCAGTAATGTTAGTTATAGTAGTAGTGGTATATCTGAACACAACGAATCAGTTGAAGATACTATTAGCAGCAACAATCATAATAATAATAGAGTAGACAATGATCATAAGGAGTATGAACTAATTGACGATCTTAGCACTAGTAGCAGTACTATCGATACCAGCACTAGTACTAGCACTGTAAATACTAATACATCTGATATAATCAGTATAGCGGAAACAATTTGTAATGATGCTGCAAGTGAGACACTGTACAACAAACAAGAGGAGATGAAAAAGAGAGATTCAATATCAGAGGAACCAGTAGTTGTGATTGAATTGACCAAGCGAAAAAAGAAGTTAAAAGTCAAGGAGTTAAACCCGTGTGAACGTAAAGAATCATTTATGTTTCCGCCAAAGAAGGAACCTAAGATAAAGGCTCGTCATGAGCTATTAAAGACCTTGAAGGGGTCAGGTGCTCTTGATTGGATTATAAATGGCCGAGATAGAGACAGTCGTAAGGAGGATATTGGCAAAGTGAGAAAGAGACAGCTGGAGAGACGATTACAGCGACCATTTGTTACTAGAAAACTTATTCACAATAAAAACGGTTGGCTTATTAAGCAATAGCCAATCATATTTCTTCATCAATTATGAGCAATAGTTGATTACCCAATCAACATTGAGAATGAAAAAAACTATAAAAAGTAAATTTTTATCTACTTTTACCTTTTTCTTTTCTTTACATTTAACAAACAAGGCTCTCTTCCCCCATTTTTATTAATTCTTTTGAAACCTTTATTATATTTTTTGTAACAAACCCTTTGATTATTACACTCTGTGAATTTGTTATAAAAAATGATTGCCTTTTAAATCCCTTTCCCCGTTTCGCTCTTCTCTTTTGAATTTAGTCAAATCCTTGTTAGTTTGTTAAATTTGTTAAATTTGTTAAACTTGTTATATTTGTTAAATATGTTAAATATGTCCTTCAAAATGGTATCTCGCCATCTCGGTAAACCCTTCTTCTCCTACACTACAGACGAACCCTCCACTTGCAACAGAAAGAAAAATTAAAACACAGACACACAGAAACAAAAATGAATTCTAATCAACACCCATATCAACAACCTATCACTCCACCCAGCCACACTCCAATGTTGACCCCTCAAGACCTCCATCAGGTATTCTCTGATTGGCTCATTCCATCTCAAGATGTATTACTCAAACAAGAAGAAATTCAAGATATCCTGGGCTTATTCTCTCCTCCTCTTACAGCAAGTCCAGTATCTGAGAATGAATCTACGACGGCACCTTCCTGTGACCTGATCTCCTTGTTCCCTGAAATGGTCAATACAAATTTACCTCCTCCCAAGCCAGTTTCCGTTCAGCCTGCAAAGCGTCGCTTGGCTCCTATTATGCCCAAGACATCAAACGTTGTGCCTATTGCACCTCGTCCTGGTCATTTTACTCCTGCTGCTCCTGTCAAAAGGAAGGTAACTCAAGATTGTGATGAAATTGCTTTAAAAAGACAAAAGAATACGGATGCCGCTCGTCGTTCTCGACTTAAAAAGATACTCAAGATGGAAAACTTGGAAAAACAGGTCAAGGAATTGGAGTGTGAAAATTCCAGACTTACGACCCGTGTTGCCGTGCTAGAGTCTGAGAAGAGTGCACTTGCTTCGAAAGAAAAGAGTCTTGAAGAACGCATACGTGTACTCGAAAGTCAGTTATCCGAAGCTCATCGAGCACTTACTTCGATTCGATCATAAGAATATACAGTTTATTACATTATTATTATTATTATTATTACTATAGAAACACAATAAATAAGTTTTTTTTAAATATCTACAAATCCTTGAACGAATTCATTAATAGAATCTATGGTGTTTTGCTCCAAATTATCTTGACGTGAAGGCTTCCTTGCATAACAAGCAAAATAATCAAGATATGAGTTGTATCGGCCACATTCATCAATGATCTCGTTGATCTCTTGCGTTGTCAATCTTCTTTCCTTGAGATGAATTGTTGATAAGAATGACTTTACATTTTGAGTATGAAGTGTATCCAGTTGTTGCCCTGTCCAGTTGCCAACAGGTATAGCAACGTGTTCTTGAGTGATATCAACAAAGTGTCCCAAAAATGACAGGGTATGGTCCTGCGTCATCATAAGGAAAGTGAAAATAGGATGGTGTGTATTAGATTCGACCGTGTTGACGTGACCTACAGGGTTCATTTTTTGCTTTACTAATAAAGAAATATACAGTTGAGTTTTTTTTATCTGTAAATACTTTATATTAAATCTTACATTCGGTATTAATGATCGAATTCGATAATGGACCAGCACGTCGAATCGTATAATTTGTATCTACAACTTCCAGATAAGCGCCAGGTTTCATTACACGGTGAATTTCGGATAAGAGTGTAGCAAGTTCTTCAGGTAACAAATAAATCATCATGGATCGCATATATACAAAATCAAACATTTCGTCTTCAAATGGTAATGGACCTTTCAGAATATCATGGATTTGAAAGTGTGCATTGGCAGGTTTGATCGAGGCTGGAAATAGTGAGCATTCATCTAAACCATAGAAATCTATCAAAAGAACAATGTTATTATTGTTTAATATTGATAACTCTTTAATACTTGCCTGAATTTGGATACTCTGTTGCCATCTCCATTATCCAAGTACCAGGCCCGCAACCAATGTCAAGGACTTTCAATTTCTCACCAGATGAAAACGACTCATGAATAGGTGATATAAAATTCCATTGAAACATGGTTTTAAGGATATAATGCTAAACAAACAGTAAGTGACTTTGTATTTTTTTTTCTCTACAAAGAAGGTCATTTACCATAGTCATCAATCGATCGGCTTCGTCATCGTCGCAGGGTAACATAAAGTTCTTGGATGCATGGTTTTTAGAATATGTTCTTCCGTCAATCATCAAATGATCAGACACATTCGATGGCGGCTTCTTTTTTTCTGTTTGTGTATTTATTGTCTTGGTGGAAGATGATCTTGAGCTAGTAGGTGTTAATTGGTACATCTGAGAAGAGGATTGTGTATATGATTTTTTGATTGAAGATGCGGGTGTTGTGCCTCGGGGCGAAGAAGTTTTTGAAAGCAGGCTCGGTTCATGTGCAACGGCAGCCATCTCAAAGTAATTAGACGTATCCTTTACACTCTTGTTACTGTTGCTGGTATGTGATCGAGCTGAAGAGGTATGCGTAGATTCTTTTCGTAATCGAGTCGGCGAGGGTAAGTCTGCTGTATGTTGTATGTCGAAAAAGTTGTATGGTGTGGGTGGTTTTTTCTTTGGAACAATGGTTGGGTAAACTTCATTATCCCCTGAGGATTGTGCATTTCCCATTTCTTTATTTAGTCTCTATTTTTTTAAGTTGTAAAATGAAAAGGAATGATGAAAAAGAAAGAAAAAAAAAACCTAAAAAAAAAAGATTGGCTTGATCCGTAAAACGTGTAACCTTGTTTATCAGCCAATGAAAAAGGTTGAAGAGATAGTAATTTGTTTATGTATATAAATACTTTTTAATTATTGTAATGTGAATGTTTCATCAATAGTTTCACACATTGTAGGTCAAAGGTAATAGAGCTTTGTCATACTTTTCGGCCTGAAGGTAGTAGAGGGATTTCCTTTGTAAACTGAAAAGCTGCTTGGTCTTGTGCTCTTAGTAATTCTTAGAAATGGGTTTAAAGTTCTTGAAATATCATTCGTCGTGTTTGAGAAAATATTTTTAAACAGCTTGGCAGATACTGAATCACCCGTTCTATCTACAACTATAACCATAACAAATGACTACTTTTTCTTTTCTATAATATATAATATAATTTATACAACAAGAGTTACACATATTGTTCATTTTACATGCAACTTCAAAAACACGTAAAACTTTATCTCCGTTTGTACTACATAACCGGCATTTTACAGATATAGCAAAAATAAGAGACATTGCTCTGTACGATTATCTTGATCAATCTAGATACACATCATTCTTATTTCATTATTTTGTTCCAATTAGCGAGATACAAAATTAAATCTTTGTATCTATGACAGCATGACAGGTTCAATGAAAAAGAACAAACTGTAAACGGACTATGAATTTACCCTCGTGGCAAAAGCTGTTATAAAACTGAGTAAGGGGTTCTCAGGTGTCGCCCTTAGATGATGTTCTATATTCCGCTTATACGTCACATTAGAGATGAGATATACTCTGATTATTCTGGACCAGGTTTTCTTTCAAAGGAGAGAGCCTTGCTGGTGAATTAAATCTTAATAAACTTAATTGTAGCTTTTGCTGCTGGCATACAAGAACAACAGTTGATACCATAACGGTAGTTTAGTTTTCTCACGCGCGCGTGCTATTGTCAAAATAGATAAAGCTGCTATTCATGGCACCATAATCTCTAACAGTAAAAAGAGAATTGGGATATACAGTCTTTTTGTTACTTTAAAGATTTAAATAATTTGATAGTCAGGGCGTATATTTTGATAATAATACAGGATAAGACATAATTGGGGACTACACAACCATCATTATGATAGTATTGTTCTCTTAAAGAAGCTTGTGTTCATTTAAAAGAGATAATCTAGAACTTCGAATGACTCACCCTTGTTTCTTGTCAGTTAATTGAGGTTTAAAAGCAAAAGCAAAGATCAAGACTAGATAAAAATAGCTCATACTCTATTCCTTCTCGATTGAAAAAGGTTTAATCCATTTTCTATCTTTTCAGATAGAGCCAATCTTTGCTCTGGTGGAATAGTAAGAAGGTTATTTTTATCTCAGTCAAGTTACACTTTGGTAAATCCTCTAAACACATAGAACACTTAACTTTTCGAGAAGAACTTACACAAATTGAATAGTCCTTTTATGGACATTACATAAAGTGCACTGAGCAGTGCAAGTCTTTGGTAACACATACGGTTACACCTCATGTGGGTCTTTATATTTTCTTGTGGACGAACAAAAGAAAAATATGAAAGCAAAAGGGTCCAAAATAGTAGCGTTTTAAACTGAGATCACAAAAAAAATAAAAATAAAAATAAAAATAAATAAATAAATGTAAAAAGGGAAACAGCAGCAATATTAGTAGTTATCTTTTCATTTCAACTGTAAAGCTCTGCATTACTTTCCACAAAAAGAAATCCCTTTTTGCCGTAAAAGCTGACAAAGACGTGGGGAACTCGCATCTATTCTTGAAACTGGTTTTTTCCAAGTTTAAATTGCATGAGTAACCAAAAGATTTGCGGATAGGCAGATGTGAAACGTATAATGGAAAATAAATGATAAAGAGACATAGCCATTAAACCTTGCGATATGCGCCTTCACAGAAGTATGCCATAGATAAAGAGTAAAAGCTAGTGTTCTTTATTATGCATTAGATAGTTTAGCAGCTCTAGAATATGATGAAAAAAAAAGGACAATCCATTCTGTAAAGCTTCAGGGCCACCGCGGTTAGTAGCGAAATTCGTTGATTGGCTGATTTTTAAGTCACGTTGGATGAACCAGCCAATCTAATTACAGAGACGATCGCTTTTGGTATCAACACACACAACCTACTGACAATTAGACAGAAAGAATGTGATAATGATAAATTAGCATTATGTAAGCATAGATCATGAGAGGGCGATCAGGACGAGAGCTTTATCCTTTCTTTTCTATTCCTCTTGTCTAATTATCAATAGATGTTCAAAGTGTAGCGTTAAGGTATATGCTTATTTAAATATCATAATGGCTAAAAACTCAATCAACCTTCAGACTTTCTTTTCTGTGGCGCGCTATAATTCATTCTGTTGAAGCATGAAGTGATTAAAGGTGCTGATAAAGAAAACTGAAAGTCCGATTGTTTCTTTCGGCAGTTGTTTACAACTTCCATTGCTGCCTCCATCACAGCCTTCGTCTTCCAAGTGATTTCTATGATGGATGTGATATCTGGAAAAGAGCTGATATGCTCTTAATACTTGAATACATCTGTCCTAATTATTCTACTATCGCATCAGACGGGAACATCCATCATCACTACTTCGAAACTCAAACAAAAAAAATTATTAGGTGATTTTTTTGGTATTAGTACATGCTTCAAGATGATTACCCATATTGGTATATCCTATCACTTTTATGTTTCTTAGCCAACTAGGAGAGGCGTTGGCCACCATGCATAACATGTCTTTCAATGGCTTGGAGAGTTTCAGCATCTTGTCTCCCAAGCACTTGTTGGCAAGAACAGAAACAGAGTCTTTACCTACTTCGGTGCACTCAAATTTACAAGTGCCACAGAAAAAAAGCATATCCATCTTGTTGTCCATGTTGTGTCTTGTTCTTGCACCTTGTCCTTCTAATCTTCTTTCATTATTTCTTCTTAAAGCAGAGGCTAAGCTACTCTCTTCTCCAATTTCAGTGTTAACGGCTTATCATAAAAAATTATATGTAGAAAGCTTCAGACATGATACTTGACCTTTGCTTCTAAAGAATTGGCCGATCTTAGTGTCTTATACAAATATAGATCGGAAGCGAATCTCATTGTCTGTTGTACCCATTTTTTTTATCTTTTTCTTCGAGAGGATGGAATACTCCGTTATTTGCCAGATAGTAAAGATCTAATGGAGTGGAAGAGTCTTTGTCAAAAGAGTTAATACAGTTGCTAAGGCAGATGTGCTCTGCTGATATTCATAATCTCTTCAAGCTCATCTGTAGTGAAATAATCAGCTCAAATTTTATTGAGTACATCAAGCGAATGAGCAGGATACTCATAGTTGCAACTTAACTTTAATCCACTTAAGATAAAACCAGTATTATAATACAAGTATCAAATGCTCTCATTATATGTTAAATAATGCTTTATAAATGAGACTGTGCAAGCGTTTACCCTTTCCATTGTAAAACCGTAGCAAGAAATGACATAGGACTAAGGGAGGAAAACAAGAGAAACATTGGGCTCATACCAGATTCGTAATCTGCGACAATGAACCATAGAAACAAACGGTTAAATAACTCTTCGATTGTTCCTGAAATCAATGTGACGCATCCGCTTAGCTCTCTGAATGTTTTACAATTTTGTTTCTCTTTGGCCTCAATATCTCAAATATATATCACGTCTTGTACCGCGGTCACATATGACCATCGAACATCATTCGTATTGTTGCATTATTGAATGGATACTTGATTGCCCTCAGGGTATATGGCTTAATGATCTGAATATTCCCCACATTTCAACAAATTCCTATCGCTTCACTAATGAAAAATCACAAAATAAATCAATCTTATGTTTGTGTATGTCAGCGAGGTCAATAATGCTGTATTTATGTAATAAAAACAATCCAACAAGCAAATTACAAACGACGACCACGGCGACCACCCTTTCTACGAGTAGAGTCGGTAGGAATGGGAGTAACGTCTTCGATACGACCAATTCTCATACCAGCACGAGCAAGAGCACGGAGAGCAGCTTGACCACCGGGACCAGGAGTCTTGGTACCAGTACCACCAGTAGCTCTGAGCTTGATGTGGAGAGCGTTAATACCGAGCTCCTTACACTTGGCAGCAACTTGTTGAGCGGCCAACATGGCAGCATAAGGAGAAGATTCGTCACGATCAGCCTTGACTTGCATACCACCAGTGATACGGGAGATGGTTTCACGACCGGAGAGATCAGTAACGTGGACGAAAGTATCGTTGAAAGAAGCAAAGATGTGGGCGACACCGAAGACGAGTTCACCTTCACGAACTTGAGGACCGAGAGTGACCTTTTCGACAACCTTGGGGGCGGCTTTCTTAGACTAATATTGTTGATGTTAGCAATCGCGATTCGCATGTATTCCCATTTTCTCCCAGCTCCTTTCTTTTTGTTTATTTCATAATCTACATCGTATCCCCTCCTTCATCCATCCATCCATCCATCCAAATGTTCACTCATCTATACTCCTTCTCTCCCTCTTTTCTCATTATAGAATTATGTATGAGTACTTACCATGACTGATATGAAAGAGGAGGGATTGAAAATTGGCAGGCTTTCGTATTTACATTATTCATCTCAGTCTCTCGAGGCATCTGTCGGGATATAAAAACTGACTTTTCTAATTTCCTTTTTCGGCTTGAAAATGAAAGAGGCTCAACAATACATATTAAGTGAATGCTTGAACTTTTGAATGCATCATACAAGATACTCATTGAAGAGAAAAAAGAATATTTAATGATGAAATCATTCTGAATATTTTCACTTTATCAAAAACTTTAATGACGAGAAATGCACAAGAGGGTATTTTTTATTTTTTCTCTCTCTTTTCTCTCATCTTTCGGCCGAGGCCCCAACGGCTCTTCTTTTCTTCTATAGGAGGAAGGGGATGTGGAGTGTGTGGCACATCATCAAACTCTTCTCTTTTTGGAGAATCTATTTGATAATGATTAAAGTTCAATTGAAGTGGGCTCATGGGGTGTGGGTCGGATGGAGATACACCTGATGGCATCGGCCCGCCGTTGCTATATGCTGTGTATTCCATTGGGTTCCTTAGAGGTGGGGTACTGATGTTTTCCATGTTGAGATCAATGGCTTGGTAAAATAGTACATAGCCTGATCCACTTCCAGGAAGATCGCTAAAATATTTTTGAATATCCTCTTCTTGAATTGGCTACAAACATAACAGTGAACAAGTCTGTAATAAATACTAAAGCATACTTACAGTGACTACATCATCATCAAACAGCATCCATTGACCATTGCTTTTAACAATAGCAACATAATGTCCATGGTGTGGGCCACTAGTTTTGTAAATGGTATGTTTCAAGATAATCATTATATAGCTTACCTTCCGATGTGCACGACAATAGCCCATAATTCATACATTCTATCTGCATCCTCGGTATCATCGCTCTACAATCAATGTTTAATCCAAGCTTCCTCTATAATCATCTCATATTTACCGTATTAAATAACCTCAACTCAAATGGAAACACAACTCTATAAGTCAACTTGATATATTTCTGTAATTGTTCTTGATATTTAAAGCGCTTCAAGTGAAGGGCCAATATGTTTGGTAGTTTTTTAATCTTCATTCTATCAAATACTGTATTAAAAAGATAATTCTCTTCAGTTCTATATAATACATACCTTCTTTCAGCTTCTTGCAGACTTGCACAAACATCGCAAAAGTACTTATTTTTATGACATAGTGTCTCACTTGCTGAGAATTGCCGTAAGCAAGAGGTAATAGACGAATTCATTTCTACATCAATCGATAAATCCATAAAGCACTCATCCCGACTAGTAACCTAAGAGAGTCTATTAATATTCTGCAATTTCTGCAATTTAAATCTTACGGTTTCACAGCTTAGGCATTTTGTTTCATTTGAGAAAATGCCTTCAAACAATTGATGAACCCAAGTGGTCTTACTACTGGAGCTTGACTCGTCTGTCTCGCTATGAATACTACTTCCCTTCTTACTGTCACTTCCATCCTGTTGATTCTTTTGCTGATATTTCTGTACATCTTCTGCGATTGTATTGAGAACATAATTTAGAAATTCATGGGCATCTTGATGCATACTAGAGCGAAACAGTTCTGACCATGGATTAGTATAAAATTGTATTAAACCACACATTGTTCTCTTACCATTTTCTTTCTTGACCTTATTTATAAAGTTCACAGGTGCAATGACGCCTGTTTTCTTTTTATGGGTAGATATTTTCCAAAACAAGTCTTTTAATGAAGAAAACAGTGTATCTTCCATGCCTGGCGTCAAATTGATACTATTTTGATCCTTTTCCACAGTAGTAGTTGAGCCTGTATTTGCGTGATTTCCATTTGTATTTGAGCTGTTATTACTGCTACTTGTACTATTGCTCATTCCGTTTATGCTGTTCCGAGAGGTCAGCTTGGTAGATATACTTCCATTAGAAGGGGTTGCTGTTGTGCTTGTTATGCTTGTTGATGAAGGGAAAGAATAATGTCCGTTTCCATTGGCTAATGGTGTCTGCGGTGTGGAAATTTCAGGAAATGTGGGTTGGGGATAGTTCAGCACACAGTGCCGAAATGGCTTACAAAAGTAAAGTGCTTGGACAACCGAATTACTATAACTGTTTTAATGTGTTAAAGGCTGAGTCATATGTTGCTTTAGTTTTCCTTACCAAGTATTTCCAAACTATAAAATAATAATATAACAATGACAATAAAAATAAAGGTTAGTAAGGTTATATGTATATGTGCATATTATATTTACATTTTCAAGCCCAAAGTAACGTTCACCTTCGTCTAGGATATCATTGTCTGCCACTGCCTTACCAGACTGTTGACCCTATATTATATAAGTATATGTTATATATCGACAGCTATTGCTTACAATGCCCATCCATTTCAAGAGTGAATTGCTTGCCATTAAAGGTCGTGTGTGCTCTTTAGTTATAAAATAGAAAAGAAGAAGAAAAAAAAGAAGGAAATAGTCTTTTCCTTATACAAATAAAAAAAGTAATACAAGGAAAAAACAGTTGTCTTATATAAATAACAGTTTTACACTCCCTTAATTCACCCCAAAAATGTGACGACGATTGTGTCTTATTGTGTAGGGCTTACTAAAGGGAGGGAAGCTTCATGGTTTTTGTAACCTGTAAACGTCCTTAAAGTTTATCATTCAATAAATCTCAAAGATAGTTCCTTTTTTGTTGAATACCATAAATAGAGTAAAATAAGACAAACTGAGAGTTTCGTTTACATTGCCAGAGAGATTACATCATAGCATATAATCATTTCCCTACCCACTTTTTCTTATTCACTTTCTACTGAACCTTAACAATGAATTTATAAAGAAGATGTGAGTATTTTAAGGTCTATGTCCCCACTGTGTATGCGTGCGTGCGACAACACCGAAAGACGTCACAGGCAATTTCGTACTGAATTCTTTTTGTGCTTGCTGCGAATACTCTAAGTGTGGCTTGTTTGAAAAGACACACTGCTATCAGAAAAAAAATTACTTTTTTCTTTAAATACAATGGCAATGGACACTGTGTATGTGTAATGTGTAAATTATTGAAACTGAATGACTAACATGAATTAGTACATCGGGAAAGGCTTCTTGGGCAGATGAATACGAGGATGAAGAAGGTTAGAGATTATCATATCGAGCCCCTCTTCAATAGCTAACTTCCATTTAAAGAATCTTTTCAACCTCAAATTTACACTGATGACGACGGAAACAAAGTCATTATTGAATATAGAGATAACGAAGATGGCAAAAAAGTGAAGGTTAGAGCACACATAAAAGATTATCTAAAACACTTGTTTATCCTTTTTGTTGTTGTAGGTAACAAGAAAGATTCGCTCCAAGCTTGTTACTGAACACGTCAATAAAGCCGTTGCACAACGTAAAAAGTGGACCAAGTTTGGTGAAGAAGAAGGAAGAAAGCCTGGACCTGATCTTTCAACAACCACCATTGGCGAAAATATTCCCCTTAAACTCAAGTCAACTGTTGGCAAGGTAATTGTGATTGATTAACAATTAAATCAGAGAGATTATATAACATTATTATAGAATGTAGAAGCTGTTGCTGAAGAAGAGGCCAAGAGCAAGATTCAGGCCCAAGCTAAGACCAAAAATATTGCATGCCGTATCTGTAAAGGCGAGCACTTTACTTCAAAATGTCCTTACAAGGATACTATGCAACCATTGGACGAAATTGCTTCTACTATCGAGGCCGTCAAGCTTGATACTACGGTAGATGCCATTCGATCAGAAGCATCAAGTCCAGCTCCCAGCAAATACACTCCTCCTCACCTTCGTAACAAAGGGCCAACTACTGGAGAAACAATGCGTGAAAAGCGTGACGACTCTGCAACTCTCCGTGTCACCAACTTGTCTGAAGATGTTACAGACAGTGATATATATGATCTCTTCAATCGCTTTGGTAATATCGCTCGTGTCTATTTGGCTCGTGATCGTGAAACAAACCTTTGCAAGGGCTTTGCTTTTGTCTCCTTCAGTAACCGTGAAGATGCTGAAAGAGCTCAACAAGCTATTAATGGATACGGTTATGATAACCTTATTTTAAGAGTCGAATTTGCTCGTAGCTCATAAACACAAAACATATATGTACAAATAAATAAGTAGTGACGTTTCAACCTATTTTAATGGCCGATACAATTCCTCTTTGTTTTTCTCTCTTTCTTGTTTTATTTCTTTTTTTAAAGAAAAAAGAAAAAATATAGCCAAAGTGAAGAACCTAATTAGAAATATTTATAAACCCAAAATGTCTACTCCTTTTGAACCTAATCAGGGTCCAATTGGGGTTGACAATGAAATATCGTTATTAAAACATGAACAACAGCCTCAGAATGACCAAGTGATGAATCTTTTCTTGAATCAAGTTGCCGATTATAACACCTTTGATCATCATCAATCACAACAAGGTTCTAGCAGTAGCAGCAGCAGTAACAGTGGTCATAGCAACAACAACAATAACAACAACAGCAGTGGTAATTATTTTTAAAAAAGATTCTTATATTGCACTATTATCAACATATTAAACTAATGTCATAGTATTTGCAACTCATAAAGACTCAGCCATTGAAGAGTTTATTACGCTTCCTAATAACAACAGCAACACAAATAAGAAAGGAAAGCAAAAGTCTAAAGAAGGCGGCCATACTTCCTTGCTTCAAGTATGAGTTTTATTATAAAAAGGCTAAACAAGAAAAATTAATATATCATCCTTTAGGTGCTCACCAACCCTTTATTGCATGCTATTCCTATTCTAGCAAGAAACTGCCTAAATTTTGAAGACTTCTTGGCTCAAACTTCAGTGCCTGGGTACTTGCAAAAAAAAAGATAGATAGTATAACAGATATTAACCTTTTATGTATATAGTCACAATGGTCTACTTGGGTCGATGGACGAATTAGATAATCATAATACTGAAACAGATCTGGCACCGTCACCAATGTAAAATAGATTAAAAAAAGATGTCTAATCATATACTTATCATTTTACAGGATAAAGAGTGATACGCCTTGGCATATTCGTGTTTTAGGTTTACCGCATACAGGAGCAAAATCGAGAGTAGAGACACAGATTAAGATCTGTCTTCAGCTTGTAGATGCTCAAGGAGAGTTGGCTACAAATTGGTCACATATTAAGCTACCAGGGCATTTAGTTGCCAAAGATAAGCTAAAACGCCGAAATCAGAAATATGGACCCGAAGAGAAAGCGACATTGATTGAGTCACAGGTATTATCTCTGGAAGCCGCTGTGGTCTGTGAAAGTCATCCTGAAGATCAGATTATCATGTGTCCTAGTTGTGTTCATCGAGAGGTTAGTTTAATGTCTATTTATGATGTGATGTTGATATTAAAATGATTTTTATTAGCGAAAACGTCTGAAAAGAAAGAGAGACAATAAGGTGGCTAGAGCGGCTAATAAAGAAGGGGGTGCAGCTAAATTGGCAGCTTTATTAAGCAGTAACGATTTACCGGATCTCAGTGATGAACAAGTCATGGCAGAAGAGCGAAAGAGGATCCTCTTGTTCAATTGTAATGACTTTGTTGAATTTAATTCTGGAGAAGCTACAATACCAACTAGAATCACTTGTTACTGTCGTCATCACAGCGAAAAAATAGGATTTCGGTAATTAACATGATTATGCGCTTGAACGTCTATTTATATTTCTCTTAGTATTGTGTTTGCTCTCAAAGACCATATGGATCAAGTTCTGGCAACCGGTCGCTCGCCTCCTATTATGATCACGGACGATCATAAAAGTTCAAAAGTACAACAACAAGCAGCAGCAAGGAAGCGAAATCGTGCAGAAATGGATATGTCTGCAACCGAAAGTGACGTGCCGGGGCCGTCGGCAACAAGAAGGAGAACTGACGTTGAGACAGACTCAGCCATTTCCAGCCCGATTGCCTCTACTCCCCCTACACCCTCATCGCAGAATGATCCTCATCCGTTTAATCCACAGCATCACAATAATAATGATTTAGACTTGTCAAATAACGAACTGTATGATTTCCTTAATTCCAATGATCTCAATTTATTACACGCCTCGCAGTCTTCTACACCACAACATCATCCGCCAAAGCCGTCATCATCTTTACAAATACAGCAACAACAACAACAACAACCGCAGCAGCATCACCAGCAGCACCAGCATCCTCTTAATACAAATACCAATACTACTACTACTACTAATACTAATAATCACAGTCATTCATTATCACATCCTCCTCCGCCTCCACCTGATCTCCTTCAACAACATCAGCAGATACTATTTAACCAAAACCCTATCGTACATCATCGCCTTATCCCAACTGAAGGCCCTACCTATAATAGTGGCTCAGAAGTCAATGTGCTAGGACCTAATACTTATCAAGGATCGGCTGGTCTGATGAATGAAAACCCTACGGTGTCTAGAAAGTAAGACTTTCATACAAAAAGAAGAAAGTAACTAATCCCTGTTATGTAGTCATTGTTGGAAAGATTATCTTGAAGAAACAGCCAAGGAACTACGACGTAACATACGAGAAAAAGAAAATGAACTAGAAGAGCTGCGTATAAATCTTGCAAGAATTGAAGATATAATTGCTTCTAACGAATAAATATACATTGATTTTATTCATTTTTACTACATCAAGACTTTATTTTTTCTTTTGCGCGTATATGAATTTGCAAGGCTCTACATTCGTATATTTATAATACAAGCAATATCTGTTTAATCCTTTCTTACTTCTCTCACTAACGAGGATTTGTAGCGCTCATCGAGAAAGAAAAAGAGAGAGAGGAAAAGGAAGAAACCGATCTGCAGGAACCTAATGTTACTATAAGATCTGTTACACCTTGATCAAATGTGGTCAATGCAGTTTAAAAATATCTCAGTTTCTTGATATATAAATGTTGATTATACTGTCATCTCTTTTTTCTCGTTACTTTATTCCGAATAAAGATACACATAGTTTCACCGCACTTTTTACCGTGTCTAAATCTATAACAAAACCAAATACAACATCTTACCTATTTTGCATTTAATAGCGGAGCATAGGCGAGTTTAATGTCAGCAACTATCTAGATACAGTGAGGATATTACTACTGCTGTTCGAAGACAAAGTAGAAAACATTCATCTCCGATGGATCGATGCACAAACAGAAGAGCACAAGAAGGACGAGTCCAATTATTCTAACAAACGACCTGACAGTTACATAACATTAAAGACATATACAGATAAATTTGGGCTTCATTAAAGTCAAAGAAGAGAAGTACCGAAATGACAAAACTAAATTGAACAAGGACCTGTACAAACTGGGTGCATTTTCTAAAAATGCAATTGATCAAAATCACCTCCATGATGTGTTAGGTGTTCAAATTGTTGGTAAGATAGAATACACAAATGGGCATAAATTATTCACTAATAGTGAAAATTAATAGGCGAACCTATTTGTTTTTACTTGACCCAGCAACGATGCAAGGGGTTTTATACGATTACCAAAATGACTATGTTGCTGAAACGAAGACTAAGGATGTGGTTATAGGCTTTCTAGCCGCGCTTTTTTCTCAGTAATATAAAAATAAAAATAAAAATTCTTCTTGTTGTTCTCTCTACATCTTTCTGTGCGTGCATTCACTGTGGTTTGGAGAACTGGTGAAAAAGATGGGCTTCAGAAGAGTCTTTTGTACCATGGGAGGGAAGCTACCACATCCTTAATCTTTGTTTCGACAACATAGCCATTGTGGGTCGTGCCTACCACAATTGTCGTTGCCTCCACTACGGCCTCGGATGTGGTTATGTTCTTGGTAACTTCTCCAAACACAGTGTTGACTATATCGGACCCACATTTGTGCTAATTCCTTGGTCGGTAGTAATAGTCTTCGAAGGCGTTGCTTGTCAAACTCCAGTTCGCGTGCAGTTTTACTTGTTCTATTGGGACACCTAAAGACACTGCCTTCGTGCCTGCTGCGGATCGCAAAGAATGCGCCTTGGACTTGTTTGTGTTGATCCAGCGATAGACTCTCCGTATTCCCCCAATCGCTGACCATCTGCAGCAGCGGTTTGCTATCGAATACTTCTTCACAGATGTTCGGTAGTCTATTCTTTGTTCTTTTTTTTCGCTTGAAAGAATTGTTGAATCAATCTCTGCTCAGCGATATCAGGCTTACTGCTATGAATAATTCAGAAAACTGAGATTAGTACTGATCTCACCACGTTGAGATGCTGTGACGAGCAGTTCTAAATTGATACCAAGTATTTTAACATCAGACTGGGATCATACTTCGTTGGGCCTTTCCCGGGATTCTCTGAAAAACACCAATTTGCCCAGTTTTTCCAATGGCGATTGTAGGCGTTATTGGTTGACTTGCGGATAGCTTGAGCTAGAAACTTTGCTGTAGCTTCGTCCATCCATTCTTTCTCCTGATACACAGGAAAAGCGAATCTTCATGCTGTAGATGAGTCTAAATACATCAATCTGGCTATCAATCCTATCTTCGATATAATTTTCGAATATAGAGTTCGAAAGATAGAGGTTGTTTTTTTTTTTTTTTTTTTTTTTTT